CTGGTGAGCCTGGCTGCTGGGCGTGGAGGCTACTGGTGAGCCTGGCTGCTGGGCCTGGAGGCTGTTGGTGGAGCCTGGCTGCTGGGCCTGGAGGCTACTGGTGGAGCCTGGCTGCTGGGCGTGGAGGCTACTGGTGGAGCCTGGCTGCTGGGCGTGGAGGCTACTGGTGGAGCCTGGCTGCTGGGCCTTGAGGCTGCTGGTGAGCCTGGCTGCTGGGCGTGGAGGCTGCTGGTGGAGCCTGGTTGATGAGCCTGGAGGCTGATGGTGGAGCCTGGCTGCTGGGCCTGAAGGCTGATGGTAGAGTCTGGCTGCTGGGCCTGAAGGCTGCTGGTGGAGCCTGGCTGCTGGGCCAGGAGGCTGCTGGTGGAGCCTGGCTGCTGGGCCTGGAGGCTGCTGGTAGAGCCTGGCTGCTGGGCCTGAAGGCTGCTGGTGAAGCCTGGCTGCTGGGCCAGGAGGCTGCTGGTGGAGCCTGGCTGCTGGGCCTGAAGGCTGCTGGTGAGCCTGGCTGCTGGGCGTGGAGACTGCTGGTGAGCCTTGCTGCTGGCCACTTGCCTGATACATGGGCTTCTTCAATGAAGAAGCCCATGTATCAGGAACCTATATAGTGTCTTGCACCTTTAGCTAACCCCAGGCTAAGTTGGGGAATTAAATAAGTAGAAACCAGCAAAGAAGAAATGCAGCACTGTGTCTGATGTTGCACTTCAGAGGTGTGATCAGTTCACTCCTCCTTTGAGCTTAACTATCCTCTACATGAGCAACTGGGAGCTGCATAGTATTTTGAACAAGTTAATGTTTGCACAATACGTTTGCAATTGACATGTTTGCACTTTAAATATGTTTACGATTTTAATTTATGTTAAGTTACTTGAAAAACGAGAAACACTGATTTTTGTAATTGTTTCTCAGGGCTGTTATCATCTCTGGTGTGAGTTTAAAATATAAGTGCGTTAGCACTGAGTTGATTATCCCTAATATGAATCAATGTTTATTTAGTCAATGTTTCTCTCCTTTAATACACAATTGAAGTTATGCTATTCATGGATAAAAAATCGTGATATTCTATTTTTGCCATATCGCCCAGCCCTACTTCAGGATCCATCACTCGTTCAGTGCTTGGACCTCAGCAGGCTGAGTGAAAGCATTATGGCACCACATCAGCCCTACTTGAATGAATTTCTTCCTCTTGTGGATGATATTTTAGTGGGAACCCCACTCTTCTCTCTGGCTGCCTCAGCCTTTTAAGCCCTGGGCTGAGCGACCCTCACTAAAAGGAGACATGTTGGGTGCGTCCATTGGTTGAGCTAACCAGTGTGGCGTAAACCCATCCAACTGCGCATTATTCCAATAGCAGCTAGCTTAAGGGCTAAGACTAGACGAAATGGAACGTTGGCTACATATTGTAACCCCAGATTCTATGAGTCTAGTCGCAGCCCTTAAGCCGATGGCCCCACTGGTTCTGTTAGGATCAAGAGCCATCGGAGGTGAACAGTGGTGTTGCTCCACTTATACCCACAAGGGGTGCCCACCATTAGTGGGCATACATTTAAGCTCTTCATGATTGGCTGATGCTGAGATCATCCGTCCAATAGCAGCTAGCTTAAGGGCTGTGACTAGACTCATAGAATCTGGGGTTACAATACGTAACCAACGTTGTATGCCTTGGGAAACCTCTCTGGAATCAAAGTGAAACTTCTAGACACAGTTTCTATACATTGGAATGTCTCTTTTGCCACAACCGTAATTTGAGATTAAAGGGACTCAATAGCCAGCACCATATTCTATCGAGCCGGGTGGTGAAAGGGTTACATATAATTTTATAAGTAGCAATAAACAAACGTTTATTTAATGATTATCTAGCTTGTAAGTTGTAGAAGAACTTCATATTGATTTAGGAAATCATTCTTTGACTTAGCAACTGATCCGAGCTGGAGTGTTCTTTATATGGAGGCAAGGAGACCTGAAAGATTGGACCTTGAGGAGAGAATGTTATTGTTGACATTTCGTTATTTGTTTTTAGAGCTGCAGAGACTCTGAGCTCCAGCTGATGGGATGAAGGCAGGCCAATTTAAAGGGAACGCATGCAGTCTTGTCTCCTTTTTTTTTACCAGATGTTGAATGGTCAAACTGTACCTAAAAACTGACCATTGCTGGACATTTCAGTGGTCTTCTTTAAACTCACCTGTTCAGGTTTGGTGGGACCATCATCGCCCTCTCCTCATTCTGCCTTTTCCCGGGATCCACTGATTTGTCTCTTTCCTGTTCACTTCCTCTCTTCCATCCGTTACATTTTTTATCACAGTTTTAATTTAATTAAATTTTTTTAAATAATAATAAAAATATTTTTTATATTCTAATTTCTTTGTTTCTGTGAAACGCCTAACCCCGTGGAAAGAGAAGAGAACATCAAATACCTCAGAGTCCAACTAATAGGCAATCTGACCCGGATGACCCACACTCAGGTCAAGAAGGCGAGACAGCGACTACCGCCTGAGGTGGCCGAGGAGATTTGGAGTCTCTTCTCTACCTTTTACACAGACCATAAAACACTGCATAGAGTGATCAGAGCAGCCGAGCACCAGATTCGAACTGCCTTCCCCCTGAGGCAGAGTCACCAAAATCATCAGTGACACTTCTCACCAAGAAAATGGTCTGTTAAGGTGCTGACCCGAAGGAAACAGCGACTCAGAAGGAGCTTTTGTGTCCGCCCTGGGACTGGGAGGTCAGGGTGTAAATCCTGGTTGGGTCATACCAAAGAGCCAATGCCTCCTATTCTGATGTCTCTGCACTGGTTACCCGTTAACTTTAGAGTTCATTTTAGAATCCTGACTATAACTTTCAGGGCTCTACATGGTCAAGCTCCTCCCTATTACTGAACTGTTAAAGCCTTATGCTCCAACCCGGGCCCTCAGGTCCACCCACCCAGGTACAAAAGTCGAGGTGATCGTTCCTTCCAGACTGTTGCGCCCCGACTTTGGAATGACCTTCCTTTATCCTTACGCAGCGTTGACAGTCTGGACACTTGTAAAAAACAGCAGAAGACCCTTTTATTTAAAGCTGCTTTTACATAAACCTTTTATTTTCTTATTTTTAACTCAAATTTGTATCAACTTTCATCCATTTTACTTTATTTATTTCTGATGTTAATCTATTTCTGTTTTGAGATCATTATGTTTTATGACTGTTTTATTTTGTGTGATCCATGTGAAGCACTTTGTGATAAGTGCTATAGAAATAACATATAACCCTAACAGTGGTTTTCAATGTTGCATCTGTTTATGCATTTAAATTGTAAATGACCTTTTCACTGTGAATAAAAGCTGTCGGTTACCTTTTCCTTTACTTTTCTTTCTGAGGCTAACCTACTGTATTGACTTAATATTATGTTTGTGTGGAAAGTAACTAGATTACTGTTGGGTTTTCAATACAGTTCAGTTACTAATTAATAAATGTAATGCTTTAATTATAGTCAGACAAAAAGTAATTGATGTAAAAGAAAAAGATCATCTGTAGGAATGTCTTCCATGTGTAGTTTTCAGAAACACGTGACCTACATACATCTGATGTATAAAATAACTGGAGTAACAGGCTCCTGCGTACTCTGTAGTGTAAAAGCCTAAAACATGTGTTAGGTTAATACGTAACGTGTTTTGGTAAACAGAATCTGTAAAATACATAATTTATTATAAACATATCTGCATCTATTCACGACACACGTTTCATATCATCTTTAGACTGTAGCGCTGCCCTGTTTCCTGTTGTCACGGACTCATCAGATAAATAAAAGATCAGCCGCACTGATGTAGAAACACATCAATAATCCAAACATGATGAGGCGACGTTTACTAAGCGCTCATAAATTTAGTAATTTTCCTAAGGTGCGCCGTCTCTGCGTTGCCGCTACCAGGCGTTAGCTTACATGCGTCACCGCTACCAGGCGTTAGCTTTGGTTAGCTTACGTGCGTCACCGCTACCAGGCGTTAGCTTCGGTTAGCTTACATGCGTCGCCGCTATCAAGCGTTAGCTTACGTGCATCACCGCTATGCGTCATCACTACGTCGCTGCGGGTCTTAAATCTGCTCTATGGAAAATACTTTTGACAGTGCAGACATTCGCACGACGATGTTACCTTCCGCTGCACCTTTTCCAGAGCCAGGTTAGGCTTAGTCGTGGCAGCGATCACTCGCCATACAGGACCTGTACACCTCGAGGTCATTGAGGCATGCAGGTCAGATCACAGCTGACCCGTCTCACCCTGGACACAGTCACTTCAACTCGCTCCCATCTGGCAGGAGGCTCAGATCCATTCGGACCAGAACCTCTCACCACAAGAACAGTTTCTGCCCTCTGCTGTTGGACTCATGAACAACAATCGTAGACCCGCCCACTCCAGCTGCTTTGTTCCAGTCACATGACCCGGTGTTGGGTTTGCACCTGAACTGACCCGCTCTGACCAGAACCTACAGTGACTTGTATAAAGTAGCTGCTTCTCTAATTATTGATTACATCTTATTATAATTTTTGTTTAGTTCTTAATTCTAATTTTGCTCATCATGTATGGTTCTTGCACCAAGCAGTTTCCTGATGTTGTGCTTTCACCCATGTGGATATAAACCCTTCTGGTTCTGGTTCATATACATTGGTTTTAAAGGAAGTTGAAATGGGTTTTGTGTCTGCTCATGTGCACCGTATCCACCTCAAAAGTCAGTTGGTTAGTGGATACTTAGATGTTGCTGTCTGTGATGGGTTGCCAGTTGAGAGATGTTTAACACAGAAATCAGAAGGTTTTTCCCACATCTAGAGGCTGGCGTGTGTACCAGAACCAGGGTTTTATTGCTGTAAGTGCGAGAATCACGACTTTAGGAAAGTGCTGGTGTGGCGTGAGGGCGTGTGCAGCCCTGTGATGTAAATGTGCATTTTAGTTTAGCCTACAGGTTGATTGGTTGTCCCCCCGCATCATCATGCATTCATGCATTTGTTCATTCATGCATTCACCCTGTCAGGATGGAGTCTAGGGTGTTGATATGCTGGCAGCAGCAGAAGGTGGAGCTCGAACAGGAAGTGTGTCGTCTCCAGGAGGAGTTGGCAGAGAGCCGAGCTGAGAGAGAGGAGCTCGAGTCCAGGAACAGAGCTCTGAATGACCGGGTGAGGAGGAGGAGGACAAGGAGGAAAGGTTTTCATCAGGTGGAACCAGATCATCACAGCTGTTTCTCTCCCCAGCTGTGCCGGACAATGTCTCCTTCACTTGGTATCTCCCTCAGAGAGGAGGAGGAGCAGAGGAGGTGGAAGAGGAAACTAAGGGAGGGCAGAGAGAGGGAGGCCCGACAGGCACTGCTGATCCACCGCCTGCAGAACAAGGTAAGGCCACAGGGAGGTGCTATGGAGTCTCGCCTGTGTCCTACTGAATCAGTTCTATACTCTTCCTCCAGACCCTGGTCGTGGTCCAGGGTGTTAGACTTCACCCTCACCCAAACCTGGCTATACTCCTTTAGCATTAGCTTAGCATAAGACACAGTGAGTAAATGGGTCCAACTAGCATTGTGAGTAAAAATGTCCTCAAAATCACTCGGTAGGGATCCCAATTCTGCTTGATGACCTAAGCATTCGTACATAAAGGAGTCACAGGCACCACTTTAGACTTGGGACTACTTTATAACGAAGCACAGCTGTAAGCCTCCGCTGGCAGCCCCAAACACACCTGCTTCTGTAAACACAGATGCACACGTTGTTAGCAAACCGGCATAAAATACACACAGACACAAATCTGTCATCCGTCACGCATCACGTGTTGTATCTCTGTGTTTTGTTGCGGAGCAAAACACTTCCTGTCCCTCATTTGAATTTGGCGTGGCTGCATACGTCACAAGAGTGAAACCCAGCAATAGTGAACGTGCTGATGGAGGGCTGTGTTCCACTATTGTGGCAGGTGATCGACTACAGGGACAGGTGTCAGAGCTTGGATCTGCAACTTCAGGAAGAGCACACAAAGCTGTTCGCTTCTGAGGTCAGACCTGTTTCAGCAGAACCAGAACAGAATCAGAACCAGAATGTTCACCAGTTGTGTTTGTGTCTTACAGCAGAGGGTCAGAGACGAACACAGCGCCTCTTTAGAGAGCGCCCTCATCAGGCTGGAAGAGGAACAACAGAGGTGTGTGTGTGTGCGTGGGTGTGTGTGTGAGTGTGTGAGTTGTCGGGCAAATATTGATCCTAGAGCAGGCATGTATAATCCTGGTCCTGGAGGTCTGGTATCCAGCATGTTTTAGTTGTTTCTCTGCTCAGACACACCTGATTCAGTGGTTTAATCACCTGTTCAGCAGCTCATCAAACTGATAAGCCTGTTTATAATCGAAGCCTCATTTGTAAAACTTTGCATTGAATCCTTACTGAAGCTCAGCAAAAACATTTGACTTAAAGCTGCCTCTCTGTTAGAGGCCTGTCTCTATCGTGCCTTGCCTCTAAAGTCATTGAAAAATTGTAAAATAGATGAAAGTTTATTTGATTAAAAATAAATAGTAATTATTATGGTGAAGATCAACTATAGTGGGTTAATTAACAAAGATTCATTATCAATCATCCACATAAACAGTAGAAGTTTATTTTCCAAGACGTCAACAATTAAGGATTATTTATGCACATTTAAAAGCTAATTCTAAGTCATTGCCATCACTGAGACTTGGCTTAATGATGAAAAGATGGCTGAAGTACAAATGGAGGGTTATGAACTTTATATTGTAAATAGAATAAATAAAAGAGGTGGTGAGGTTGCCCTATACATTAACAATGGTTTATGACTAGGATGGAAGATAATGTTATGGAAATGGTAACAGTGGAAATTAGCAATGACACATCCAAACATATAATAATCATTTGTGTATACAGAGCACCCAGTTGTTGCATCAGGACATTTACAGATAAAATAAATGAGTTAGTGGATTATATTAAAAACAAAACCTTGTTCATGTGTGGGGACTTCAACATTAACCTGGAACATCCTGCTAGACGGAGAACATCAAGTGATTTGCTTGATTTGATATATAGTTCAGGTTTGTTTCCTTTGATAAACAAACCTACCAGGACCACAACCCTAAGTGCAACAATAATTGATAAGATATTCACTAATACAAAGGAGGATCTTATTAAAACTGGGATATTGATGACAGATATTAGTGATCATTTACCTATTTTTATAGTGTCTAAATATCACAATAATAAAAATGATATCATAAAACATCATTTTATTAATTATAAAATAAATAAATCAGTTAAAGGAGACGTCGAAAGCAGTGCACTAGGACAAGGAAGCGGGGCAATCGCGGAGGTGTCCGAGTCAGGCTTGAGGCTAAGCCAACTCGCCCAGCCATACCATCGATCCTCTTGGCCAACGTACGATCTCTGGACAATAAAATGGACAACATACGACTTCTGAGATCAGCGAATCGCAGAGTAAGTGACTGTTGTGTGCTAGTTTTCATTGAGACATGGCTTAATGACAACCTTCCGGACTCGGCTATACAACTGGAGCAGCTAGCATGCTACAGAGCCGACAGGGCTCTCGCAGACGGAGGCAAGACCCGAGGTGGTGGGGTCTGTGTTTACATCCGTGACGAGTGGTGTTGTGATGCCACTGTAGTACGCAAACACTGCTCATCACTGGCGGAGTTCATGATCGTGAAGTGTCGCCCCTTCTACTTGCCCAGGGAGGTAAGTTTGATCTTGTTGGTCGCTACTTATATACCTCCATCTAGCAACAACAGCGATAGAAATGCGGCGCTGAATGAATTGTATCAGGCCATCAGTGAGCAACAAACAGCACACCCAGACGGTTTCATCATCTTCGCAGGAGACTTTAATCATGCTGATCTTAAAACTGTTCTCCCAAAGTTTCATCAGCATGTACATTTTCCAACAAGGGAAGATAACATATTGGACCTGGTCTACACACAGAAAAATGGAGCATACAAAGCCATTCCCCTCCCCCATATCGGCACCTCTGATCACCTCACTGTTGTGCTAATGCCAGCATACAGACAGGGAGTGAATGACTACGTTTACATGCAGCCAATATCCGGGTTATGATCGGGTTAAGGTCGGTATTCGGGTTTCTGAGTTGATCAGAATAACCCGTTTACAAGCACAAATAGAAAGAGTTACCCCTAACTTGCATAACCCGATGTAAATGCGGACGTTGGGGTAGCGTCAGGACGTATGGACTACGTCCAGACGCAATATGCGTCATTTCCGGTTCTTCTCGTTCCGGTATCCGTGAAAACAAAATTTTTCCAGTTCGGAAGAGATAGCGACTGCGTTTGTGCTTTAGTTTCCTCGTCACTCCGAAAGTGTGGTGCTGTGCTGCGACTCGCCATGTTGCTCCCAACTTGTTGTTTACTTCCGGTGTTCTGGCGCATACAAGACGTTTCGCTACTCAAAAGACCAAGATTCCTTGCGAACAGAGCATGCGCAGAACACACGCTTTGATGGGGATATCCCGGTATGCGTTTACACGACCAAACATTCGGGTTAGAAAAGGGTTACCTCAGGTGTAGTAACCGGGTTTTTAAAAACCCGGTTATGAGCATATCCGGGTTTCTGGCGGTGTTTACATGGACCTGCGGAACCGGGTTATTGTGAATATTCGGGTTTTAAAAGGGTTACTGGCTGCATGTAAACGCACTGAATGTCATCAAACCTGTTATGAAAGAGGTAAGAGTGTGGCCACAGGATGCCACCTCTGCTCTTCGAGACTGCTTTGGGTCAACTGATTGGGACATATTCAAGGAAGCAGCTACCTACACTAACATCATAGACATCGAGGAGTACACAGATACGGTGAACTCATACATCAAATGCATTGATGATGTAACACAAGTGAAAAGTATCACAACTTGAGCCAACCGGAAGCCATGGCTAACAGGAGATGTCCTCAGGCTGCTAAAGGCCAGAGACAAGGCCTTCAGAGCTGGGGATGAAATGGGCCTGAGAACAGCGAGAGCAAACCTGTCCCGCGGCATCAGGAAAGCGAAACAGGACTACACACACAAGATAACCTCCCACTTAAATGACAGCAAGGATGCACGAAGCCTATGGTAAGGCATCCAGGCTATTACTGACTACAAGCCTACAGCGCGTAGCTGTGAGAGTGACACCACTCTGCTCAACAACCTGAACAGCTTCTTTGCACGATTTGAAACACAGAACAACACACGCCCACAGAAAACACCTCCACACGACCAGCCTCTGTGCCTGTCTGTTGCCAGCGTGAAGAGGACACTCATCACCATCAACGCCCGGAAAGCAGCGGGTCCAGGCAACTTCCCTGGTAGTGTGCTGAAAGACTGCGCAGAGGAGCTGAAGAATGTCTTCACAGACATCTTTAACACCTCCCTGAGGCAAGCCACTGTCCCATCATGTTTCAAGACTGCCACCATCATACCTGTGCCAAAGAAACCATCCCCAGCTTGTTTCAATGACTACCGCCCCGTGGCACTGACACCCATTATTATGAAGTGCTTTGAACGACTAGTCATGTCACACATCAAATCCACCCTACCTCCCACTCTGGGCCAATACCAGTTCGCATACAGAGCGAAATGATCCACAGAGGATGCAATTGCTCTGCCCTCCACCCAGCCTTAACTCATCTGGACAAGAAAGACTCATATGTGAGAATGGTGTTCATAGACTTTAGCTCAGCATTTAACACCATAATACCACAACAACTCATCTGTAAACTGGACAGACTGGGCCTCAGCACCTCCCTTTGCAACTGGCTGCTGGATTTCCTCAGCCAGAGGCCGCAAGTGGTGCGTGTGGGCAACAAGGTCTCAAACAGCATCACCCTGAGCACGGGGGCTCCACAAGGCTGTGTGCTCAGTCCTTTGCTCTTAACCCTGCTGACACATGACTACACACCAACCTACAGCTCCAACCACCTTGTGAAGTTTGCGGATGACAACGCTGGTGGGGCTCATCACCAAGGGCGATGAGACCCACTACAGGAAAGAGGTTGAGCTCCTGACCACTTGGTGTAGAGACAACAGCCTCCTGCTAAATGTTAGTAAGACCAAGGAGATTATTGTCAACTTCCAGAGAGGCCACACCAGCTACCCCCCATTGACCATCGACGGCGCTGCGGTGGAGAGGGTGAGCAGCACCAAGTTCCTGGGGGTGCACATCAGGGAGGACCTCTCCTGGACCACCAACACAGCATCACTGGCCAACAAAGCACAACAGCGCCTCTACTTCCTGCGCAAACTCAAGCGGGCAAGCGCTCCACCACCCATCCTGATCACATTCTACAGAGGAACTATTGAAACATCCTCTCCAGCTGTATCACTGTGTGGGGCGGTAGCTGCACTGACTATAACAGGAAAGCTCTACAGCGCATTGTGAGAACAGCTGAGAGGATAGTGTACCACTCCCCTCCCTGCAAGACATTTACACCACTCGCCTCACCTGCAAAGCCATCACAATTGTCAACGACGCCACCCACCCTGCGCACTGTCTGTTCAGCCTCCTGCCCTCTGGAAAGAGATACAGAATTCTCCGCTCCCGCACTACCAGGCCCACCAACAGCTTCATCCACCAGGCTGTGAGACTGCTGAACTCTCTTCCCTCCCGGCTCCCAGCCAGCAGAATCACCAGTGTGACAGAAGTATAGGAAGATAGACTGGACTCTACACCCCCTACCCCCCATCCATGCACACTTTCCAACAAGGAAATACTCATTGAACCAAGAACTGGGAAACATTCCTGATTGGAAACAACTACCTCTGCATTGCAATTGCACACACCTGCTGCTATGTATTTTTAGTATATTTTTTTGCTCTATTTACATTACTTATATTACTATTACTGCGGCTATAGTCTTAAGTTGCATTAAAACATAAACCCCTAACTACCACAACCTGGGACTACCTCAAGTAGACTAGTATACTACTTCCAGGGAACACTGTTGAAACACCTTATTTAATTTATTTGATTATAGGTTAGGTCTTGTCTATCCTGTTACCTATTTAATATTACCTTATTGTTAGAGCTGTTTTTGTTGTGCATCTGCACTTTATGTTGTCAATGTCTACGCATGGGACAGTGTGAAACGTAATTTCAATTCCTTTGTATGACAAGCACATTTGAAGAAATTGACAAATAAAGTTTTCTATTCTATTCTATTCTATTCTATTAAAGCCCTGGAGGCCCTAAATAAAGATCTTAAAAAGCAGAACTGGGAGGAAGTCTATGTCAGTGATGTGAACACTGCAAATACATCCTTCATGAGAATACTCCCGAAATCTTTCAGTAATAGTTGTAAATTCTTTAAAATAACAGGTAAAAGGGATAACCAACCATGGATGACTAAAGGCATCAAAAATGCATGTGCAAAAAAATATCTGTTTATGAGATTTTTAAAAGTTACAAACAAAGGAAGCCGAAAATAGATTAAAAAAATATATAAAAATAAATTGGTGTGGGTTAGCGTTAGCTGTGTGCGTTAGCTATGCGCGTTAGTGTTAGCTGTGTGTGTTAGAGTTATTTTTGTGGGTTAGCGTTATCTGTGTGTGTTAGCATTAGCTGTGTGGGTTAGCGTTAGCTGTGTGTGTGTGGGTCGGAGCTGCAGGATCACAGCAATCAATCAAAGCTTTATTTATAAAGCGCCTTCTGCAACCCTGTCAGGAAGCCCAAGGCGCTGAACATGGTTCAGTAGAAGTACGAATATATTGAATAAATCAAAAATAAAAGCAATTCAAAATACAAATTACAAAAAAAGGTGAAACATTCTAGTACAGGACAGATGGGTAAAACAAGAGAAAGAGTGAACCAATGAAAACTGTGAAAGAAATTCAACATAAAAGAGGGCCGAATCAAACATGTTCAGGAAATGCCAAGCGGAGGAGGTGTGTTTTTAGGTGACTCTTAAAGACTGGCAGAGATGGGGACAGCCTAACTGAGGGTGGCAACTGGTTCCAGAGTAACGGTGCTAGGACTGAGAAAGCCCGGTCCCCACGGGTACGACACCTAGACCGAGGGACAGCGAGCAGGCCTTGGTCAGAGGAGCGCAGAGCACGTGATGGGGAATGTTTGTTCAGGAGAGTGGCCAGATAGGGGGGACCACTACCCTGGAAGAAATGATAAACAAAGATGAGGATTTTGAATTGTGCACGATAGCAAACCGGAAGTCAGTGCAGGGAGGCCAGAACCGGACTGATGTGGTCCCGTTTCCTGGTCCCAGTCAGGAACCTGGCTGCGCTGTTCTGCACAACCTGTAGGCGACGCAGGGATGACTGACACAAACCTGAATAAAGAGAGTTGCAGTAATCAAGCCTAGAAATTACAAAGGCATGCAGTACCCGCTCCAGGTGAGCTCTCGACAGCATAGGCTTGATATTTGCAAGGCGTCTCAGGTGAAAGAAACTGGACCGGATCACTGAGTTGATCTAAAAAAGCATCACAGCAGATCTAAAAAAGACGAAGATGGCATCAATCATTTCCATCATCCCCTGATTACATTATGGAACTCAGGGATCGCTGAGATAGTCCAAATCTAAGAGTAACATTAACTCACAATCTTTACGCAACAGAAGCGTTATGTGGTGATCTGTGTGCTCCACAGCACACTAGTAGTGGTGATGGTGAACATTCTGCTCACACTCTGAACCATAAAACAGCTGCAGACAGAAAGCACTGGAGCAACTAGTGACTCCTCCCCCTAACTAATCATTTACTGTTTATTTATTATTATTATTATTATTATTATTATTGGCTGACACTTGCTGATGTCACATTTTCGGACCGAGATGGGATGCTAGGAACCATGATGAAGTTGAGGGAGCTTCATCCCAGGGAAGAGCAGCTAGGAAGAAGAACTCGTGGTACTTTCTCAGCCTGGAGGGAACCACAGTGTCTGAAAATCCAGTTCAGGAAAGGATATGAATCAAATCTATCCATAACAGGAGAAAATGACTTGTGTAGTCTTCAGACCTCGGTTTGTGCGTAAACAGCTTTATCAACAAGGTGATTAGAATCAGGTGTGTTGGAGCAGCAACTAAAACTTGCTGGGTAGCGTCCCTCCAGGTCCTGGACGCCCTGTCTTAGAGGATGACCTTGTGTTTGTGTATTTTCAGGTCGGTCAGTCTGGCTGACACCAACGTTCTCCTCCGAGAACAGCTCAGCCAATCAGAGCAGGCCAACCAGATACTGAGAGAAGACCTTCAGAAGCTGACAGCTGATTGGACGAGAGCTGTGGAGGAAGCAGAGCAGAAAGAAGCAGATTGGCAGAGAGAGAAGGAGGTTTATTTAGATTAAAACTCTGATTTTCTCTGTAAACAAACTCAGACCCAGCAGGTTGTGTATTTCCTTTGTGATGGCATCATTAGGTCTGTTTCCACCATCAGAACTTCTTTTACCAGACCTTTGCAGCAAGCGGGTGTCTCCACTCCAGCGGGTGGCACAAAAGGGCCGTTTTCTGCATTATTGCAGCAGCAGGGGCGTGTGCTCAGAAATGACCTGGCAGGTTAGCTGAGAAGGCCTTTGGGTTAACTTGTGTTGAAGTTAGAAATGACATCAGCAAAACAACAAGGATTAGTGGAACTGGAAGAGCTGCTGGTGAAGCTGAATGGAAGTCTGTGTGTTTACGTCTCACCTAAACTGATCTTGGTTGATCTGAAGTGATAAACTGGGAGCCTTTATCCTAGTTTACACGTGTTTTAGAAAGCCAAACCCTCAAATGAAGTTAGTTCCAGTTAGCTCATAGTAACTGAAATGGTAAAAAAACGCTGGTGGGAGTGAAGCAGGCGTCGATAAAACAGGAAATGGCCCAAGGAGTGGACAACAGCGCTACAGCACCGCTGATTAGGTACGTCCAGGACTGTCAGGTGTTACACGTGTTACTTTGTGGTGATGTTATCAGAAGGCTGCTTCTGAAGTCTCATCGCCTCCGAAGTTATCGTTATCAGCTCGACCTAGCCGTTAACACGCAGATGCAGTTGGTTTCCTACCACATCATCTGGTGCTTCAGCACGACTAGAACCAGTTCCCCTTCAGCCAGACTAACGTTTTTACATGTGTTTAAAAGAAACGATGTTCAAATAGTTAACAGAACAATGTGATTCACAGCGCTCCGTGGTCTCACAGAGCACGGTAAAAACAGCGCTTCTGGTCATCGGTGTGTCCATGGGCTAGTTGAAAGCAGTGAGTGAGATCAGCTCAAATTAAGGCCCTTTAAGTTTGTTTGATAGTACTTATCGAGAGGAGCCAGTTGAGGTGGCTCGGGCATCTGGTCAGGATGCCTCCTGGACGCCTCCCTGGTGAGGTTTTCTGGGCACGTCCAACCAGGAGGAGGCCTGAAGGAAGACCCAGGACATGCTGGAGGGACTACGTCTCTCACCTGGCCAGGGAACGCCTTGGGATTCTCCTGGAGGAGCTGGCCCAAGTGGCTGGGGAGAGGGAAGTCTGGGCCTCTCGACTTGGGCTGCTGCCCCACGACCCGACCCCGGATAAGCAGCGGAAAATGGAAGATGGAAGTACTTTTTTCCTCACCCCTTTAAAATATTTCAACTTAAACATTAATGGGTTTTTTTCTATTTAAATGAATTTAACACAAAATCTTATATGTGGGCTCTGGACCTGCAGCGTTGATTGGCTCTGTTATCTGCATGCTTGATGTCGGGATGGCTCATGCTAATGAGCAACTTTCTGCCACACCATGGAAACGCTTTCCGTGTTGTAGCAATGTTGTTACCCCCAGTGAAATGCTCCCCGTGTCAGGAGAGCGTGCCGGTGTAAAGGGTTTAATTTACATGTTATTTAATGAACCATGAGGCATGAGACTCCATAGGAAATATGGAATCAACCTTATGGATCTGTGGGTACTGTTTAACCAGAAGATTGGAACTTTTTATTGCAGGGATTATGTAACACTTCGTATTGACTGAGAGACAGCAGAAGAAAGAGTCAAGTTTTAAAAGTTTAAAGATTTATTACTAAACAAATTAAAACTAGACTAACTTTAAACACTAAATGTATGGTGTAACTAAGATGAATGAGACGGAGAATGGTGTAGTGTGGAATGTTGCTCAGAACCAGCAAATCCAGAGAAACGATTAGTTCTGATGGGAGTGAAGGTGATGTCTTCGCGCTAAGCTTTGATTCGGAGATTCATAAACACATAAGACGCCATTTTGTCGCTCCACACATACTCTTAGGATGAGACCTCCGTACAGATCCTGAACGTCAGGTCCTCGGACCCCCTTCGGTACCGGAGCCGATTAAATCAGCAGTACAACAGACTAGTCTTTGGATTGTCTCCAGGTAAAAAGCGACAGTTTGTTGACAGCGTCAGATGGACCCCGAGGGTCAGTGAGTTCAGCTTTCATTCTGAAAGGAACCGTTGCTTGGTTGGTAAAATGCAACAGATTTTATCCAGCTTGTCGTTGGTTCTTTCAGCTGAAGAGGAAAGTTACGGATTGGCCACTCCGACAACTTCTCTAGAACGCTTTGAACTAGCGTTAAAGATGACGTGGGCATGGTTTTATACTTCGGATGTTTTGGTTTATGGTCGAATGAAAAGGTGACAGGTTTACCAAGCACCACCAAAACCACGCCTCCGTCAGATCTGGCAGATTCTGATTGGATTGGTAAAAGCAATGTGTCATGTCTTAACGCTACGTGAGATCAGTCCTTACACAGTGGAAACATTTAAAGTTATATTACTTATTATATTCTATAGGATTATAATAAAGTAATTAATATTTTCATTTCACAAATTGGTTCACATTTTATTGTTGACTAACACTTTGTTTGATTAGCTTATTAAAAATAGAGTTCTTTGATTTATTAAAAAGAAAGTCCTTTGTCTTCATTCTTCTCTTGGGCTGGAAAGGAAACCAGTTTAGGAGCAAATGCATGAGACCTTGAGCAATATCTCATGCAGATTAGTTCTTGCTGAGGAGAGGTGGGAAATGACTTTTAGGTGGAAAACAGACATTTCATTCCATTACACCGGCAAGAATCAGCGTCTCCATCATCTCTGCCTTGTTTCTAGCTAACTAGACATAGAATTGCATAAACTTTTACCTAACAACGAGAAATTGTTTGTGGGCGACATCAGAGAAGGATGTTTTTATGGTTCTATCGTGACGTTTGATCGAGCTGAACGTTTCTCTGACGAGAGGTTCATCGCTTGTGTGTTAACCCTAATCCTCATAACCGAGTTCCAGCCAGTCAACAGCTCTGTGTGTGTTTAAAACGCTGCTGGCTCCGATTGTTTCTACTCACCATGAATGTCAGTCTGCTGGAGAAAATACAGACAAGACGGCTTAATTTCTACAGCACATTTCACACACAGAGGCTTTGCAGCAGCAAGTACACCTGGAAACAGCTGTCTACTACTTTATTCCAGTAAAACAGGGTTCTGTAGTTAGATGGAGGATGAGGAATATGAAACGGGTAACAGGGAAATTCTCATTGTTTCGTAAAAGTAGTTCTACGTCTAGCTAGCTGGAAACAAGGCGGTGATGATGGAGACGCTGTTTCTGGTCAGCACGCACTCTCGACGCAGGGGGAGCATTTTCCTGGGGGTAACAACATTGCTACAACACCTACATCTATGGAAATGGGTTTGGAATATTTAGGATGCGTGTGATGTTTTAGTCAACGTCAGGTTAGTGGGATGTTGTTTGTCCTGGGTGAGGGAAGGGCCATCATCGTGCATCCACCCCTCCCCTGAAAACGGCTGCTGCTTGATGTGGTGTTGGTAGTATTTTAGAGGTAGTACAAGGTAGTAATTCTACACCAGGGTTTCCGTGTAAGCTCTGTCTTACATCACAGACACAACCGGACCCTGAGTGGAATAAATGATGCCACATTTTGACTGAATGATTGCCTGTGGATGCCTTTTGGCGCTGATCAGTGACATCACTTCCCTTTGTAGCAGTGGTGGCATGTTGTTTGGTGAAGTCCTAAAAGGATTAAATCTCCTGGTCAATTCTGCCCCTCCCAGAAGTTTCCTTGGTCTCCAATGATGAAACATGGCTGTTGTGTGTGTTGTGTGTCTAGTGTGGGCGGGGTCGTGTGGGTCAGCAGCAGGCCCGGTTTCTGGCGGTCTGGAGGTCTGTAGTGGACCTACGGAGACTCTGCCACTCAGTAAAAACAGCTGCTGACAGGTGAGTCTGACTCTCAGCTGCTCTCAGATCTGATTGGTTTCTGGATTCTGATGTCATTCTGGGATCTGGTGCTGCAGGGATCTGTGGCAGCTCAGAGCCGAGTTCTCCAGACTCTCCTCCTCCCTCCTCTTCAGCTGTGACTCTGTCTGCTCCTCCCTGAGAACCAGTGCTCCTCACAACAAACCCTGTGGCCTCCCTCATCCCTCATCCAAACATGTCCTCCCTTCTCCTGACTCATCTCCACCTCCACTCTCCTCATCGATTCTGGGAGTCTTCACCATGGCAGAGATCAAAGAAGAGGAGGAGCAGAGAATGGAGGTGAAGCTCCTCTGTGATTCTGAAGTGCATCAGAGGTAAACTTCATCGTGACTTATTGAGGCTCTGCAGGAGGTTCAGCTCCTCACCTCCTTCACCTCCTCTCTGCTAGGTTGGAGGTGCTCACTACCTCCCTGCAGGAGGACATGGAGAAGGAGATGGACAGGCTCAGAGATACAGAGAGGACTCTGCAGGCTGTCGCTCAGGCTGTTGTCAGACTGGTGAAGTCCTCCCACACACACACACACGCACGCACGCACGGACGGACGGACGGACGTAGTTGTGTCATAATGGTTGTTGTGTGTTTTGTCTCCAGTCCAGAGTCCTGAGCAGTAGTGGTTGGACTCTTGCCGTGCCTTCAGACAGTGTCCTCAGCCTGGACCTGTCCTCCCTGCTGTCCGTCCTGTCTCAGACTGAGAGCGTCCTGCAGTGCAGACACAAGGAGCTGCAGGTCAGTTCCCAAATTGGTAAAGGGTCTGTGTTTGATAAAGTGCCCTCAAGAGTCCTGGAACCCCCCAAGGTGCTTTACAACACAATCAGCAATTCACCCATTCACACCCTGGTGGTGATGAGCTACATTGTAGCCACAGCTGCCCTGGCCACACTGACACAGGCGCCACCGGCCCCTCCGACCACCAACAGCAGTCAAGGGGGGTTACGTGTCTTTCCCAAGGACACAGCGACAGACTGAGCAGGGCTCGAGCCCTCAACCCTCCGATTATGATGCAAGCGCTTAACTCCTGTGCCACAGTCCAGCCAAAGCTCTAACACACTCTGTATGTGGTAGGGGGCGGAGCTTAGTGTGAGGAGGCTCAGGGAGGAGAACACGTCTCTGCAGCTCCACCTCAAACAGCTGGAAGACCAGAACCAACACATGGATGTCTACACACAGCAGGAGCTGGCACACACGCTGGACACGCTCAACAGGTAAACACACTGAGACACATTGGAGCTGCAGTGCCTCCTGCTGACTGCTTCAGCCCCATTCTTACTCATCGTAGGCTTACCTCCCTTTTCCACCTGTGCCTTCTGGGCTCGGCTTGGCTTGGCTAGGTAAATAAATCCATCCATCTTCTGAACCTGCTTTGTCCACGGGGTGGGGGGGGGGGGGGGGTGGGGGAGCGGGGGGCTGGTGCCTATCTCCAGAAAACGGCTCTAGTTTGATGGTTCTGGAGGTCCAGCTGTCATCTAGTGATCGGTATTCCAGTGTCCAAACACGTGTTTCATATTTTTGATGCAATTCAATTAATTCAGTTCATTTATATAGCGCCAAATCACGACAAGAGTCGTCCCACTGCACTTCAAAAAGTAAACATTTGGATTGTGTTCAGTTCATTATGTCAGGAAGTTACTTCCTACGTAAAAACTCAGCAGATTGCATCAAGTCACTGACTTGTGTCAGAGACTTTGAAGGAAGATTTTAACTTTGGAGCAGAACCAACAGGAGATGGAAAGGATTCAATACCAGATTTGATTATTAAATATGAATATGTTCCTGATCTGAAGAAGAAATAATTTTTTCTGAGAAACATATCGTTGCTACCAGATCATTTGTTCTGGAGATGGAGGCGGAGCTTCAATCTGACATTTAATTAAATGTTCCTGGTTCCAGACCCTTCCAGACAGACTTATGGCCTCATAGACATGATGGGTCTACCTGGAGTCCATGATGAAAACTCTGCAACTGTGGTGACCTAGAGTGCAGTCTCTGTTACCGTGGTGATCTAAAATCCAGCCCCTGTTACCATGGCGACCTTGAGTTCAGCCTCTGTTACCGTGGTGATCTAAAATCCAGCCCCTGTTACCATGGTGACCTTGAGTGCAGCCTCTGTTACCGTGGTGACCTAGAGTGCAGCCTCTGTTACCGTGGTGACCTAGAGTGCAGCCTCTGTTACCGTGGTGACCTAGAGTGCAGCCTCTATTACCGTGGTGACCTAGAGTGCAGCCTCTGTTACCGTGGTGACCTAGAGTGCAGCCTCTGTTACCGTGGTGACCTTGAGTGCAGCCTCTGTTACCGTGGTGACCTTGAGTTCAGCCTCTGTTACCGTGGTGACCTTGAGTTCAGCCTCTGTTACCGTGGTGACCTAGAGTGCAGCCTCTATTACCGTGGTGACCTAGAGTGCAGCCTCTGTTACCGTGGTGACCTTGAGTGCAGCCTCTGTTACCGTGGTGACCTAGAGTGCAGCCTCTGTTACCGTGGTGACCTTGAGTTCAGCCTTTGTTACCGTGGTGACCTAGAGTGCAGCCTCTATTACCGTGGTGACCTAGAGTGCAGCCTTTGTTACCGTGGTGACCTAGAGTGCAGCCTCTGTTACCGTGGTGACCTTGAGTGCAGCCTCTGTTACCGTGGTGACCTTGAGTTCAGCCCCTGTTACCGTGGTGATCTCTTCCACACCCATAGAACCTGTTTTCTTAATTCTTAAAAATCTTACTTTAAACATAAAATCTAAGCAGGAGATCTGTCTTTGTCCATCTCTCTGGATCGGCGAAAATCTGAGAAAACTTGTTTCTGTTTCAGAGGGAATGAGGTGTCGACCTCTCTACGTCTGCAGGTGAAGGAGGTGCAAAACAGAGAGGAGGAAGTAAAGAGAGAGAACAAAAGACTGAGGAAGGAGAGAGACCTCCTTGAGGACAGAAACCAGGAGCTAGAGACGGAGACACACAGACGGTAACCTTTGTTAGGGTTCTACCCAAGAGTAGAACCCTGCAATGATAAATAACCTGCACTTGTATAGCGAGTTGCACTAAAGTTAGAGGACCCCAAATAGCTTTTCACTACTTTGAATCATTCATCCTTGGGTGGTGATGAGCTACATTTGGGCCGTTTCCACCATCAGAGACCTTTAAAGTATTGGGGTGTCTCCATTTCCAGGCCAGCTGAAAGTTCTGGAACCGACACAAACAGGAAAAAGTACATGGAATGGCCCGGTAGAGTCGGTGTGCGAAACTTTTGATTAACTAAGGCTAATTGGTCAAATCTTATCTGTTTGACAGACTTCAGTTTGTCCATGTACATGAGAAAACTTCATACTCTAGGGTTACTTGTAGGTTCAGTGCTTGGACAAATTCTTTTCACTATAGCCACTTTGGCATCTGGGTCAATACGGATCAGACCCAGAAGGGTAAGTTTTGTTCAGATCTGGGTCATTGTTGAGTTTTCCTGTCTGTCTCGACACTTTTTTCCAGACCTCCTCCTCAGAAGTCCAGCCAAGGCCAATGTGGCCTTGCCCCCACATTAGGGACAAATAGGTTGGCTGAAATTCACGTCTACCACCTCCATTTGGCGAGTAGATTCAGCTAGCGGGGGCCCGCCTACGCGATTCTTTTTCATTCTTGTTGCTGTCAAGAAAACATCTCTGTAAGTTGCATGGAGCTCCTGCTTCAGCGCGGGGCGTAACGTCACCCCGCTTCTCCTCCAGCTTCACTGGCTGCCAGTCAACTTCAGGGTTCATTTCAACATCCTGGTTCTGGTTTTTAGTGCTTTACGTGGACAAGCACCATCTTACATTGGTGATCTTCTTATGGGCTTGACACACGGGAGGCGACATCGCCTCTCCTCCATTCATTTTCAATGAGACATGCGCGACAAAGCGATAATCGCGGGTCTCCCTCCTACTAAGCGAAACGCGAAAAACGTGCGTGTGAAATTTTGCGCTCGTGCACAGGCGACCCAGCGACGCAATCCCAGAAAGTTGCAACATTTTCAACTTTTCATCGCTGTCGCTCGGACGAGGACCAATCAACGGAGGTTTCATTCACTGACCAATGAGCGGACAGGATGCTCCGTACACCTCCGAGCAAACATGGAGGAGAAGTTGATTATTATTATGTTTTATAGTAAAATCAGAAGTAAGATTTCACATAACTCTAGCAGCACCTTGTGAAACATCATATCTACCGCTTTATTAACTCTGAACCGCTTGAGTAACCTTAATTCCCTCCAACCTGACACAGCCAAACAAAACAATGGAAGTTTCGATTTCGCCATGGAACAGAACGCGTAGACGGCTTTGCTGCTGGCCGCTGCCGCGGATCGCCTCCCGTGTGTCAGGTAATAAAAGCGACAGCGACAAACTTCGCTGATCGCAGTCGTTTGTCGCCTCCCGTGTGTCGAGCCCATTAGTCCCTACACTTTCTTTCAATGTGTGTGGCCCTCACTCTGTCCTCACTACTGCAGTGGAGGACACTGTCTCCTACTACAGTGTGGTGGCAGATGGTGAGAGGGATCAGAAGAGGACAGGATATCAGTGTGTGTGTGTGTGTGTGTGTGTGTGTGTGTGTGTGTGTGTGTGAGAGAGAGAGAGAGAGAGGGCGGGGGGGGGGGGGGGGGGGGGGGTTGAGGACATACACGGCAGTGAGAGAACAGCAAGCAATAAAATAAAATAATGTGGTTCAGACTCCAAAAGCAACACAGCTCACAACTGCCTTTGCTTATCTTATCAAGGAGGACACCACAGACTTTCCCGCGTGCCGTTAACGGCGCGCACCTGCTTGGGGATTTTCACGTTCCTGAGAAGTCCTTGGGAACCAAGGAACCGTACTGATCGAGATGACCCAGATCAAAGAGAGTAAAATGTTATCATCAGGAGAGGGAGAATGTTTAAGTGGTTAGCAGCAGTGTGCTAGCCGATGGCACCCTCCATGAGGCCACCACAGCTCAGCAGAACATCGTTGTAGCTTCTTCTGGGGAGAAAAACACTTAGAGAGAAAATAAAGTTAACAGCTGACATAGCAGGAAATAATGTGGGTTTCTACTGTTTATTTCTACTGTAATGAGTGTTACCGGGTTCTGCTGTTCTTCAGGGTAGAAGCGGAGCTTCTAGAGAATGTCCAGCTGTCAGAAAGGGAAACTCATCAGAAGATGGAGGTCCTCCGTCTGAAGGTACTTGCTTGTCTCTGAGGACTGAGAGGCCCAGACAGGTTAAAAGACATCTGGAGTATCCTGGTGTTTCATCGTGTCCTGTCCACCTGCAGGCAGTGCTGGAGAGGGAGCAGCTGGACAGGCAGAGAGCAGAGGGTGAAGCTTTAGATGTCAGAGTTGCGCTGGAGAAGGTTAGATGTTCCAGAAGGTCTGAGACTAACAGTAGAATCATGCAGCCTTGATTAATCTGGTCTCCTGCTACTTTCTGCTCCTCAGTGCAGGGAGGAGGTGCTGCACCTGTCCTCCTCAGAGACACTGCTGAGACAAGAGGTAGAAAATGGAAGAAATGCTCTGGAGAAGATGTCTGTTCTGAACTCGTCTTTAGTCTCGGACAAAAGAAATCTGAACCAGCAACTACTGCAGGTACAACTCTGCTCCAGGCTTTGAAGAAGAAAAAGAAACGATCTTTTATATAGCGCCTCTCAAGATAAAAATCATCGGGCCCTTCACAAGAACAAATGTACAAAAAATTAAAGCTGCAAGCAGCATAGTTCGACCCTCGCAGCTCCACACTGCTCCGGCCTGGCACGGCAGCCTGGGACACCTGAGCACGTCCAAGGCACAGAAACTTTCACCCCCGACACTGCGAACGGTCACCTCAACCACACCTCACCCTTACTCAGCATCTCCTCTTATCCTGCCATTATATTATGCATCTCACCAATAGGGGGCACTCTGTGTTTACTACACTAGTGGGTAAATCAGTAAATCGTGAGTAAGGCCAGCAAATTTGGTGCAAGTCCGATTACGCGCCAAGGAGACCTAGTTGGTTGGGAAATCATAGGGGGCGATTTTTCCAAATATAATTCAGTCCAATAGAGCTGTTCACAGGTTCACAAAGATCGTTTTGTGTGAATTTTATGTGAATCAGATGTTGCATGGGTTAGTAAGAGACCAACAGCTTCTGTGAAAGCAAGCTAGGGGCTGACAGTTTTAATAGTACTAGGGGGCACTATTAAAATAAAAATAGGCTATGCCCACTGGATTATGATGTCTATTTCTATTGGGGGCTGGACTAGGATCAATCACCAGACATTTCGTGGCGATATCATGAGAATTGAGGAAATGAGAGGCAAACATATTTTCATGGTGTGATGTCGAATTTCGCCATGCTTCCAAACCCTTGCCCTTTTTCGAAACCTGCCAGTACTGGACACCAAGTGACCTCAACTTGTCTACTGCTATTTGGCAGAGATTGCTGTTGATTAGGTGAAAGGAGTCAAATAGGGAGCTCTGAGAGTAAAGCATGGCGTGGTGACAGGTCAAAGTTTGAGGCTTAGCCACGTCCTCACCGTCCAACTTTTGAAAAATCCGTAGGTTGAATTTTCTCCCCTATGTCTTAAGAGTATTTTTACGTCCCCGACATGTGTTGTTAAAATGTGAAGGAGGGGGCAACATCAATCAATCAATCAATACTTTATTAATCCCAGAGGGAAATTAGAGTAAGAAATGCGACAGTGGAGTTAAAATGGGTTTAATTGTTATAAAAGGTTGTAAAAACAAGTGCAAACAGATGGAGAGCATTATTAAAATAATGCCAAACAAACAAAATCAAGATTAAAAGGTTAACATTTAAAAGGGTGAATTATCAACTTTAAAACACCTGGTTAAAACTTCGTTAAAGGTTTTACCAAAACAGAAGGTACTTTAAAAACACAAGTTGATAATAAAAACCGACGCGCTACGAAAACACCGAGTGTTTTAAAATCCCAAATTTCCTGTAAGTAAACCACGATGATCTTAAAACAGAGTCACCCAAGACGACATCAAACAAAGATCCATTTGGATCACTCAGAGTTAAAACTATTAAAGTTAAAACTCATCAAAACGAAGGGGTTGAAACCAAAACGAGGCCAGGAGAACAGCAGAACCCCTGCACTGCTGCAAGGCACAGCCTTTTTATCCCAGGTGTGGGTCATCAACAGGATTCAGCTCAGCTGTGCTCCTCAACAGCCTGGAAGAGAGGAGGAGGGGGAGGGGCGGTGTCAGGCTTGATCACCAGGGCTGGGTGATCTTGGCTCATGCATCCACTGGCCAGGCTGGCAGCCGTAACAAGTATATAGCAGAAGTTTGAAGGCGATTGGTGAAAAGGGGCGACGTTGCATCACTCTTCCAACAACGTGCGAAAAAGACAAAATGGAGTACTTGTACCAAAATGGCCGACTTCCTGTGTGATTTTGAGCCTGACTCCAAGACACCTTTTTGTAGGTCCTCAGACACTACATCAATGTACAAAATTTTGTAATTCTCAGCCAAAGCATGGCTTGGGGCTGACAGTTTTAATGGTTGTAGGGGGCACTATTTCAAATTATAGGCCATGCCCACCGGATTGTCAATCAAATTTTTTTGGGGGCCCTGACTAGGATCGCACACCAGAAGTTTTGTGGCAATATCTTTAGAAATGACTAAATGGGAGGTAAATGTATGGCCACGGCAGATTGCCTGAATTTGCCCCGCCACCAAAGCCCCACCCTCTTTCCAAAACTCCCATAAAGTGACGCCAAACAAGCCCCGCTTGTCTTCAGTTACCAGCTACAGTTTTGTGGTGATTAAATGAAATGGGGCAATTTGGGACCTATCACAGTCGAACTTTTCGGTCCCGAGGGGGCGGGGCTTGTATGATGTAATCATTTGACCATTCATTTTACTTTGGGGACGGATGTCGAACGACCACAGAAAGTTTTGTAAGTATTCCCTTTGGTTATGAAGTTATAGCCATTAATATTTTTTTGGCGAGTAGTGGAACTTTGAGGCCTGGCCCCGTCCCCTCAACGAAAACTTAAAATCTTCGTCCCATTTCGACGGCCAAAACGGGTTCAAAATCGCCACTTAAACCCAAAATGACTGACTTCCTGTTTGATGTTGACCATGGTTGCATGAGGCTTTTTTGTGTGGACTGGTGAGTACTACAAGTGTCCCAAATTTTATAACTTTACTGTAAAATAAGCTCTATAGGGAGGGGTCATTTTCACATTCTAGAGGGCGCTGTTGAGCCATTTCTTTTGCGACTTTTCCAAATGTCTTAAAATAAAAAAATTACACCAGGATCTATGAATCTGCAAAGTTTGGTGAGCTTTTAAGTATGCTAAGGCCTCCAAAAGCCAATTCATTTGGCGGAAGTAAAATAAATAATAATCAGAGCAATTAGTGTAGGGCTTTGCAGCACTTTGTTGCTCGGGCCTAAATATATAAAAGATAAAAAAATTATTTTAAAATATCATAAATTTGGGAAAAGTAATAAATTGTGATTACAAAATGTGAGGAAAGGGAAAGAGAAAATGAGTAAGAAAGAGGTAATAAGTGGATTCCAGGAAAGTCAGAGTTGGGAAAGGAGGGGCTGCATGACTTAATTTTTTTTAAGTCGACAGTCAAGTAAAGAAAATCTAGTCGACATTGACTAATCATTAGCCACGTTTACATGCGCCAAATTTCCTCAATCCGATTGAAATGTTGGTTGATCGGAATTTCCGAATCTCTGTTCACATGGACTCGAACTGAAATGATCCGATCATGCCGTGCGAATATATGCACCAAGCATTTTATCCGATTAAATAGGTTGAGCATGCACAAAGAGTTTCCTTTCCCGAAAGAAAAATTATAAACATATGCCATGAAACAAAGTGAAAAATGTAAAAACAGAAATAACAATTCTTCCTGCTTTCCTGATCCATTTATTCAATTTAATATTTTTATTTAGCTCATAGAAGTTACGTTTTCTTCAGTGAATAACTGCAGATATATGCTTTGCTGCATTTTATTGTTGATTAAAATAAGGGAGCGTTATATCTCTGCCTTTAGCGCTGTGCTGCGCTGCAGAGCGGGGGTGGAGGGGGGTTTAGACTCATGTTTTATTACTGAGCTCTGTTGTGGCTTATTATTAATAACATGTGACGATCAGCTGAAACTGTTGAGAAAAATCTGTTCAAACAAAATAACAGAAGATGTTCAGAAAGTTTAGAAGCCTGTGTTCATCATTAACGAACCGCATCTCAGGTCATCTGCGTTTATGTGCTTCTAACACGGACTTTACTGTCGTCCGGAGTATTTAACCGAGGACGTTTTCCTACCCAACATCAGCCTCCAACCAGGTCTGTAAAACCCAGATTATCCTGTCTTCTTTACAAGCGCGTCTCCATCACCTGCTGCAGAAGCTGCTGCGTTCAAAGCTGACAGAAACGTGGACCCGTGCACTGCAACCTCTGCAATAAACCTGCGTGTTTCCAGTACAGATTTGAACATGCTTGTCGAATGATTTGTGCAATAATCAGATTTTTATTTTACTTCCACAAAATACAAGTTCTGAATTAAATATCACTGAAACTGGGACGGCTTGTCATCGGATTTAAAAGCCGCCGCTCGTTAATTACGCCGTCATTTTTGAAGTCTGGCAGCGGAGAGGCCCGCTCGCTGTTGCACACATGTGCAGTGGGCATTATTCTACCCCAACAATCAGAATGGCTGTGTACATGCACGTCAATCGGAAGAATGAACAGAATAAACCACCTCTCTCAATCGGATTGAGATTTCAATTGATCGGGCCGAATCGGATCAGAATGTTCCGGTGACATGTTTACATGCAGAATTTTTTATCTGATTGGGTGTTCAATCCGATTAAATACGCGCATGTAAACGTGGCTAGTAATGACATCATACACCTAAAGCGGCTAAAACTGATGATGGGTGACCAAGCGTTTTTTTCTGATACACGTCGGGAGGCGACGTTCTGGCACAGTGCGTCGCTTTTTGACGCCTGCGGTAAAATGGTAAAATGTGCTACTCACAGATGAAATCAGCTTCATCATGACCTCAGATCTGCCCCAACTCCAGTAACCTTCATGTATTCATCAGCCTTCGAATCAATGTTTCTGATGCTCCTTCTGCACTGGAACTGCTCAACCTTTAACTTTGTCCTTTTCTGCTAAAATTTTTAAGTTGTGATTTGTGTCACGTTGATTTTAATGTTCTAGCTAAGGGAAAGCACATTGAATTGCCTCAGTGTAAGAAATGTGCTATGTAAATACAGCTGCCTTGCCTGGATCACTGTCACATCACTATGGTTGTGTTTTTGCTGTCAGCTGGAGGTGGAGCTGTCAGACAGCCAGTCACAGCTGAGGAGTGTGAGGTCAGAGGTCATTGCTGTGCAGACAGACGCTAATGCTTTGAGAAGAGACTGCAGCCGCCTCAGGTGGGTTCACAGCTAGTCATCCCCCAGGTAAATGATAAATGAACAGATTCAGAGGACTTCAAAGTGCTTTACATTACAGTGAATCATTCAACCATTCACACGCTGGTGGTGATGAACTACTTCCCATACCCCTTTTATTTATAAAGCACTTTTAACATGGCATTACAGCCAACCAAAGCGCTGCACATAATACAAAAAAACATAAAGCATAAAATAGTCGCATCATAAAAACAATCTAACAATAGAACATTGTAGCGTTAAGGATTGGCCACTTATTTATTAAATGATCAATAAGATGTGATGTTCCATATAAATATGAAATATCAATCAGATTGGTCTATGAATATTTAATTTCATATTCCTTTAGTTCTTGGGTTATTCAGGGAAAACACACTTCATATTAATTCAGACAGAGTCAAGCTTTTCCGGTTCGCACTTCACCTTTTTTACAGCAGCAGCCCAAAACGATCTCCTAACACTAGGGGCTGAATGACTTTTTTTTTTTTTTTAAAAAGTCGACTGTCAAGTAATGAAAACTGAGTCTACTTTGACTAGTCATTGATGATGTCATACGCCTAAAGCGGTGCGGGGGTGGGGGGTTGGTTCGCTGGAGTTTTTGACAATTAAAATTGCGCCCACATTTTCAAAGTTAAACACATTTCTTTTAACAACGGTAGTTTCTGCTTCAGCCCCCCCCCCCCCCCCCCCCCACGTAGCGGCCGCAAACTCACTGATGCGCCTGCAGCCTCTCAAAGTTCCTGCTGCTCTAAACATTAAAATAATTATTTCATTTTCTGTTCCTCACTTCTGATTACCTTCAATGGTGTCTGTTTGTTGCAACCACCAGGTACAAAAACTAACTTGTTTTTATTTGACTGTTTTTCTGTCCTGCCTGTTTATTATCTTCCTGGATCTCCTCTCAATCCTAAAGAGAAACTGCTACCTGGGTTCATATATATTCACCTTATGAGTTACCTTTGAACTGCAGTTCTTAAAATCTACCGACTGCAAAAACAGCGGAGTGCGCGAGCCGGCCGCACCGGTGAGGTGCGTCACCGGAGGACAAAACAGGTGATGCGCCCCGCTCCACAGCAGCGAAACGCATCAGGCACAAATAAAAGACAGAAAACATTAAAGGAAATGAGCCGACATGAACGATCGTGTGTTAAATTTGTTTTTGAGGTTGTGACACCTGATTTGATAATGTTGCTGTGGCCGTGCTCAGGACGCAGATGTCTGGAGCGCGTCAACAATCAGAGCTTTGCATGCGCAAGCTGGTTAAGGTTAGGATGGGGGTGAGGGGAAGGTTAAATTGCAAGAGGGTAAAGGTCACAATTTGGTTAAATGTCCGTTTTACGGCGGGTGTCAGTACCGACGCTCTGGCACAGCGCATCGCCTTCCGACGCCCAGGAGCTTGTCACCTGCTGACAGCAGGCTGCTGTCTTTTCCGAGGACTGCATCTTGCCGGTCATTATCACGAGACAGCGACTCGTTGATGACAGGCATAAAAAGTCACTACAGAGCGGTGAAGTCGACTAGTTCATACAACCCCTGCCTAACACATGGATTTTCTGCTTCCTGATCATGTGACGTGTGACGTATGCGGATGAAGATCGGCTTTAGAGCTGAGATGTTTGTTCTCACGGTGCGGGGGCTCGTTCCGACGCCCACACAGTAAAAAAAAAATATGCAAATGACGACTTTAATCGTCATTGGCAGTGAATGAGTTAAAAGAGCTGTTGTGTCTGAAATCACTCGCAAGCGTTGCAGAGAGGCTTTGACCTTGAGTTCAAAAGATAGGATGGTTCCAAGTAGAGGTCGACCGATGTTGGTTTTTCTATTGCCAATACCGATATGAGGCGGCCGTGGTCAGTCAATGGCCAATAAGCGCTGCTGATTTTTTGGGCTGATACCTCTATAGCACCTTATCAGATTGCTTAATTATCACTAATAACTGTGGAAGCACACGATTTCTGAACCTAATCTGTTTTAAACACTGAATTTAACCAACAATTGAATCTTAATGTAGTCACTGCTCAGTGGTAAAATCAAACATTTAACAAGATTAATAAAAATACCAATAAACTGACCAAGTATTAAATATACAAAACAGGTTTCAGAGCATTTATTAAGCAGGTGTTTTATAGGGATGTACACATTTACATGTAAGTATAAATAAATGCACCTTTAGAATAGAAAGACAGATCCTACAGTGATGTAATAACATATAAAACTCAACAGCAACCTGCTAAAACACACCAGCAACATCTAAAGTTCATCCAGTCTTTTTAACTGACTATGTCATAACATCTTCATGAAAAACTGCTTCAGTATTAACTAACCTCAGTGCTCTTGACTAAGCAGCAGCTTCTGTGTTAGCCTGGAGATGGGGAAACTTCAGGTTGTGTTTTTACCTTCTTCAGCAACCAGCTCACCAGCCTCCTGCTGATATAACACATCCTTTCCTTGGTTTGGCTCCATGACTTGCTGCCATGCTGGATGTGACTTTAGTTGAGCCATCAGACAGAAACTAAACAGGAGAAACAGTTGTTAGTGTTTGTGTAGAGCATCCATCTTCAGTTGAGTCTGTAGCAGAAAGAGCAGAGAACTCAGCACAATACAGTCTATATGAGAAATATTAGAGCAATGCTCATCTATTAATAACCCTAACTATTCACTAGTGTTACTGACTTCTGACGTTAGATTTTACCTACAAATTCAAACTAGTCTTTAGTCAGAACACGTCTGCTGTTTCTGATCACAGATTACACGCTAAACAGAAAACCTAGAGCTGCATTTATATACAGATCTTTTTCTGTGTGTCTGTTCACCGTATCAGCCACGTAAGAACTGGAGAAGCGTGACGTTCTATTTCGTCTAGTCTTAGCCCTTAAGCGAGCTGCTATTGGAAGGGTGATCTCAGCATCAGCCAATCATGAAGAGCTTAAATGTACGCCCACCACGTGGGCACCCCTTGTGGGTTATATAAGTGGAACGACCCCACTGTTCCTCTCCGTTTTCTCTTCACGCCAAGCTTAAGAGCTTCCTTTAAGAGCAATTACACAAGAAAAATCTACTCACCGACCATGTCCAGCGATGCCAGGACCTGCCCGGCCTGCCAGACGGGCTCCATCTCCAGCGGCGACTTGCACGCCAAGTGTAAGGTCTGTCTCGGGGCTCACCATGCTGGCCTGGCCTTGACCCCCAGGCCTCGTGCCCGTTTTGTACCACTCTGCCCGTGGCTGAAAAGGTCCGCCGGGTCGAGTACTTCACCCCCACCACCGACGAGAAAATTCCGGTGGCTGGCACGTACTCGCTGGACAAGGCGTTACAATTCTTCAACGTCGGCCAGGAGCCGGCTGGCTCCTACCGACTGGACGATGTCATCGACAGCAAGGAGTACGACGAAGCTGGCTGCCATAGCCCTTCTTCCCTCCTGTACAACACGGAGTTCCACGAGCCTCGCGAGGAGCACGACGAGGCTGGCTGCCATAGCCCTTTTCCCTCCTGTACAACACGGAGGTCGACCACGAGGCTGGCTGCCATAGCCCTTCTTCCTTCCTGTACAACACGGAGGTCGACGAGCCTTGCGAGGAGCACGACGAGGCTGGCTGCCATAGCCCTTTTCCCTCCTGTGCAACACGGAGGTCGACCGCGAGGCTGGCTGCCATAGCCCTTCTTCCCTCCTGTACAACACGGAGGTCGACCACGAGGCTGGCTGCCATAGCCCTTCTTCCTTCCTGTACAACACGGAGGTCGACGAGCCTCGTGTGGAGCACGACGAGGCTGGCTGCCATAGCCCCCTTTCCCTCGCTCAGCAGGTCCTTCTGCCCCAGTGGCTTCTCGCTCCTCCCTGCCAGCAGTTAGAGCACTGCTCCAGGAGCTGCCCGCCATCATCTCCGCGGCTGCGGCCCGCAAGGGGCTAGCCGTTCCAGAACCGGCTCCGCCTGAGGCAGATGAATTGGCGGGAATTTTCGGGGCAACACAGACGCGCTGTCCAGACCCCGTCTGGCCACGCTTCCCCGCTGCCATGAGCTGCTGGTCCGCCGCCTTCTCCGAGCCTGCCGGGCTCAAGGCGCCAATTTCCACATATGTGCCCATTACCAAGGTCGAGGGCTTCTCCGACCTGGGCTGGCCATCCGTTCCCCCACTGGAGCCGGACTTAGCCTCGCTGTGTGGCGTCAAGAACCACCTCGCTGGACCGCGAGCAGTTCCCGCTTCTAAGCATGACCAGCTGCTGAGGCAGCTCGCCGATCGCGCACACCAGTGCGCCTTCCAGACCGGCGCTGCAGGAAATAACATCGCCTTTGGCTTTCCAAAATGGTGGAGGAGCTTGACGCTCCTGTTGAGTCAGAAACCATCATTAAAACTGCTGATGCCATCCTCAATCTGTGCGCTGCTGTCCTCACCGGTTTGCTCGCATTGCTGCCTGGCAGACCCTTATCCAGCGGGCCTTGTGGCTCAAGGCCCTGCCCTCCATTCCTGAACACATGCACAGGGAGCTGCTGGAAGGTCCCATCACCTCTGATGTTCTGTTTGGTCCCCATCTTACGAGCGTCATCGAGAGGGCTCAGACTGCGGCTGAACTTTCAGCCACGGTGCGAGACCTGGTCCACTCTCGGTCAGCCTCGCACTCCGGCCGTTCCCCCAGAGGATGGGACGAACAGCGCGGAAACTCCAGGCGCCCAGCTGCATGGCCCGCCCCGCGGAGCCGGCCTCCTGCTGAGGCGGGACCAGGGAGTTGGCGGCCAACGGTTCCAAATGAGCCAGCAGACACAGCCTTGGCAGTCTCAGTCACAGGAACCTCACCGAAAACAACCACGAAAACGACTCGTTGGGGGGAATGTGTGTGCTTATGACTGTAATGTTAACTCTGTGAATGATTTTGGTTTTGAAATAAAACCCAAAAAACGTCACATCGAGAGCACAGTCCTACAGTCCTCTGCAGAACCCTCTGCCGAATCCTCACACATGATGTTCCCCGCACCAAGCACTGCAGC